GGGCGAGGGTATCGTGGAGTGGCGGGCGAGGGTAGGTGGATTAGGAATGGAGATTGATTGAGATATAAAGTCGTGGAATATTATGGAGTGGTAGGTGAGAGTGAGAGGAGTATTATGGAATAGAGTGTGTCTGCATGCGTATATTATGGGGAGATATGAGGAATATCATAGGATACGGGAATCTTCGGGGAATAGAGGTATCGTGGGAGAGCAATGAAGTGATCATAACAGATAAGATATTATTGAGAGATCGGCGAAGGTACGAGAATGATTTATTTATTCGAGGGGAATGATACGGATTGATGGATCATGGGATATAAAATATTTAGATATATTGGGCGTGAAAATCGTAGAATGAACGATTATAGATAAATATTTTTCTTATTTGCGGACTTTTCTAGATCTATTATACAGAATATTATAAAATTAGAAATTATAAGAATATTTATTGTAGAAGTTGAAGATATCATAAGAGAATAAGAAAATTTTCTTATTTATTAAATAAAGGATGATTAGATATGCTAGGGAATTTTTATGAAGGGAAATCGAGAATATTATAGAAATATATTTATATAAGAATCATTAAAAAAATATTTAAATCTATGAATGTTTGAGCCGGAATCCGAGCTACGAAATTGAATTCCGAACATTGAATTCTGAATATCGAATTCCCAAAATAGAATCTTGATCTGGAATTTATGTCTTGATCTTTTATTTCGAATTTCGAATCCCGAATTCGATTTCCGATCTTCGGACCGCAAATTCCGATTACGAATCCCAAAATTCTAAAACCCCCGAATCCAGAATTCTCCGATCCCGAACTCTGAATTTTGAATCTTAAATGCGAACACTTAGATTCGAAACTCGATTTCTGAATGAGGTACGGATTTGAAATAAATTCGGGATTCCGAATATAAGCTTCGATTAGGAAATAGAAAATTTAGAGATTGGAGATTCGAGATTCAGAGATTCGAAATTCGAAGAAGAAGGCTCCGAACTTCGAATTTCTAATAATTTGATCATTCAACTATTCGATTCATAAGAGCAAGGACACGCTTATTCTGAATCTGAAATATTGAGGTGACCTGATACGAATTTCTTTATTTATCTCTCTATTGGATATTCTTATATTTCTATTCTTGTCTTAGTATCTATTAAATGATATAAATAATTGATATTTGCTCGATTATAGAATCTATATATAATTATGAAACTAGAAATATAATTTCATTGAAATAAAAATTATATCTACCTTCGCCAATCCGGGATTATTGATGCTGGTGAATTTTGGAGCATATATTAGAAATCGCTCCATACTTCCTCTTTGAATTTTATCGAAACTTTCGAATACCCCCGGCTCATAGCCCAAGTTTGCAGCTGCGCATCGCATAGCGATCCCACCAGATCCGCGCTTGCGGTCGGCATATTTTCAGTCACACTCAACGTTTCGGCAGCGGCTTGAGCGATGAGCGGCTGAATCATCGAACAAGTAACTACGAGATCTAGGGCACGGCGAGGGAATTTCCTCCAAGAATTAGTTTATAGAAATAACGGAACAATCAATAAGATATTGGCAGGTATATCTATATAGATCTGGCAATCAATTAGCTCCAATATTGATCATAAACCGGCACCTTGAATAAATAGGTGCATCATATTTCGAAGAGAACTATAGATATTATATTTATTCCCCTTGTATATTTAATTCATAATATGATGATAATAAGAATTAAATGCTTGCTTAGAATACGCCCATCCCTTATTCTCTTAAAAGATCGGAATCCCCAATCGTATACTAATAATATCGGAAAATGCAATCTCGGAGAATACTAAATCTCGTATGGACGAGGGGAATTTGCAACCAGGCTCCAATTCCGTATGCTGCCACTGCTCGCAGCCTGGCCATTGATCCAGCATGCTAGCCTGAAGGAGATCTTAGAAAATGACCTCGTGAAGATTTTGAAGCATGGAAGCTTGATCTAATGGGGCAGAAGGTTTTAAGAGACTTGCTCCATGAATCAAAAAAAGAATGATAAGTATTGGTCCATATTATATTAGAAGTTTCATGCCCCGAGACGAGTCGTGAAATATGCTCATAATTCTGCCGTCGAATAAAGATATAGATAATATCTACAATATGAAAGATTCTCATGCCGAACTTATACCTAGATTTCAATAGTTGCTTGAATTAGACAAATGATATCTTCTATCTAATTCCATATAGAATTCATCTAATATATATATATATATTATCTTATGATTGCATCATATCATAGGAAGATCCTTTGCACCCATGAGGAATGGCAAAATTGGTAGAGCCTTATAGATTTATTCGATATATTATACTAAATAGATAAGCATCATTAATAATTTGAAGAAGCACCGAGATCTTATATAAAATTATCCGCCGTATTATTACTTGCTAACAAGATCAGAAAACGGCAGAATTCCGGACTTAGAATACGAGCAAAATTTATGAATACCATCTATTATATATTTTGCAAACTTAATATTAATTATTGAAATTATAAAATAATTTTAATCAATGCTACGATATTAAATATAATATATTAAAATCGAATCATTTATTATCGCTAATCTATCATATTAAATAATGAGAAATATATATCGAATTCCAATAGATAGAATAGAAGAAAATTCAAAAGAACTAAAAATAAATAGGGGTCGAATATTTTCTATAAATATGAAGTCTTCTTCAAAGCTAATTAGATCTATTCCAAATATAAATGAATCATTATTAAATCAAATCTTCTTAAATCAAATTCCTTCCGACCAAAAATATCCTTTTAATTTCATTATCTATTTATTTCTATATTCAGAATTATCGAATTCGATTTTATATATAGCAAATATATCCGTCGACCCTGTGCGGCGGCCAGAAGTTAGACTTGCTAGTGCCTCTGGCGAACTGCGGGCCCTGCAGCATGCCTAACTCCAATGGATCGCAATGCATGCCCAATTCCTCTCTTTAATTTGACCCGGCTCCGTCCAACCCTACCCAACCCCACTGAGCCCACCCTTGCGCGCCTAGTTTGAGCTATATTTTGGATGGATTTTAGTGATATTGGAATAAATTAATTGAATCCCAACGTATGCCCGACTCCTCCCGGGTCCTACCCAACCCTGCACCTGGCCCTATCGTGCGGCTAGATTAAGTTGCATTTGTAGTATTTATTGATCCCCAATGCATGCCCATCCCCTCCCCAGCCCTACCCAACCCTGCCCAACCCTACCCGACCCTACCCAACCCCACACAACTCACTCGGCCCCACCCGGCCTCACGCGAGCCCTCATAGTAGAGTAATTAAATTGCCCTATCCGCTACCTAACCCTACCCAACTCGGCTTAGTCAGTTTTAGCCAGATTTTAGTGATATTTAATAATTAGTATAGTATTAGATTAATTGAAGCCCAAAGCATTCCCATCCTCTTCCCAGCACTGCTCAACCCCACCCAACCCTACTTAGCCCCACCGCGTGGTCAATTTTAGCTTTATTCTAATGGTATTTCGTAGTACTAGAGTAATTTCATTGGAGTCCAATGCATGCCCAACCCTTCTCCAGCACTACCCCACCCCACCCAACCCAACTCGGCCCCACCGCATGGTCAATTTTACTCAGAATTCAATGGTATTTAATAGTATTAGAGTAATTTAATTCGAGCCCAATGCATGCCCAATCCCTCCCCAGCACTACTCCGCCCCACCCAACCCTACTCAACCCTACGTGGCCCCACCGCGTGGTCAGTTTTACTTAGAATTTAATGGTATTTAGCAGTATCAGAGTAATTTACTCAGAGCCCAATGCATACCCATCCCCTCCCCAGCACTACTCCGCCCCACCCAACCCTACTCAACCCTAGTTGGCCCCACCGCGTGCTCAGTTTTAATAAAATTTCTATGATATTTAGTAGTATTGGAGCAATTTAATTAGAGCCCAATATATGTCCAACCCCTCCCCAGCACTACTCCGCCCCACCCATACCTACTCAACCCTAGTTGGCCCCGCCGCGTGCTCAGTTTTAATAAAATTTCTATGATATTTAGTAGTATTGGAGCAATTTAAGTGGAGCCTAATATATACCCAACCCCTCCCCAGTACTACTCCGCCCCCCCCAACCCTACTCAAGCCTACTTGGTACCACCACGTGGTTAGTTTTAGCTAGGTTTTGATGATATTTAGTCATATTAGAGTGATTGAATTTGAGTCTAATATATGCCGAACCTCTCCCTAGCACTATCCGCTCCGCCCAACCCTTCTCAAGCCTACTTAGTCCCACCACATGATTAGTTTTAGCTAGATTTTGGTAATCAAAAGATTATTTTTAGTAACTTCAGATAAAAATTTGGGCTCTAAGCAGCCATATATTATAAATAGCAATTAGAAATTTATATAATCTTCAGAGCGGGACAATATAAACGACCCTCTTTAATAGAAACCAAGCTCGATCGTGCTTTTTTTTTTTGAGAGGATTCCAATATCTCCAAATCATGAGAAAAATAATACGACCGTTAATATCATACTATCGATGTTCGTATACGACCCACGCACACGATTTATAATTAAATCTTTAAATTTGAAGATTCTAGGACTTGCCAAATTATTAATAACTTCTTTAGATCGAAAAAATCTAAATGACGATAATTATGCCGGCCCGTGCCGCCAGACCCTACAATATTTTTCTTCAAAATGAATTTAAGATCCCATCAAGTGTATTTGAATATATAGATCTCTAATCTCTATCTTATAAATTCAAAATTTCAATTAAATCTATAATCTATATTTTATGAGCATATGAAATTCTATGAACCTTCTCCGTCACATTATATTATATTTCGACCTATATTTCGAAGCCCACGTGCGACGTCACGTCCCCTTGAGGTTTTCGGATTTACGACTTAAAGGATTCAAGTTCAAGGATCTTCGTGGTATATGAGACTACAAGGAGAGAAGAGAGAGGCGATAAGGTAGACAACTCCCCCTACAGCGGAAAGGCGTCGCACCACAAGCCCGGGCCGAGTTGCCAGAGCCCCGCTTTTGCTCGGCGAACGGGCCTGCTCCGGTCCCTCAACGCAGCAAGCTCCTCCGGGAGTGACGAGGGCAGGAGTGCGCCGGCGCGGCGGCGGGCCCTGGGGAAGTTTCGGCGTTCAAGGTTTTACATACTTTGCGAAGGCCACAATTGGAGGGCACCCGAGGCCCGTGCAGAAGATGCAGTGAGCACGCAAACTGACTGAAGGTCAGCGCCCCATCCTGCACAAGTGCACAAGCCCAAGACTCGATGTCATCTTCTCATCGTTACACACTGAACTTCGCTGCCTGGCCTTGTCACCGCGAACGAGGCGCAGTACTGCCGACAGCTCCTCCGCTCTCCAAGCACTTGCCAGCTTCTCATCACTTGACACTGCGAGTACGCGGGGGAGGGTACAGCTCTCGCATGTTGTCCTCTTTCGGGAGCCCAGAACGTTCCAGGACCTGGAAGGGAAGCCACAAGAAGGCCACGGACTGTGACCATGATGCTAGAACTTCCGACCACGAGGGATACATGAAAGCAGAGAAGTGGTGCGGGCATGTGGGCTCCGGTGCTTTCTATACTCGGGAGGGGCGGACCGCGTGCCCTAAATCTGCGGATATCTGCGGTGCCAGGCCTGCCAAGCATCGCGAGTTTTCAGGTGACCATCTCGTTGGAGAGGGAGGCCCTAGCCAATTCAAAAGGGATGCCGCAACTACACTGCGACGCCCACTTCATGTGGGGGTTTCCGAAAATAGGGGACCCTGATATAGTACCCTAAATTAGTAGGATCCTTATTATAATGACCCCTAAATAAGGTACCCCTTATTTTCTGAAACTCCCATGTGCTCGCCTGAAAGATGTCGCGGTATCTTTGCAGATCCTCGGCTGCCATGGCCTCAGCAGGGCTCCGCTGGGCCCCGGATCTCAGGGCCTCCGAGGCGGCAGCCCAGTCGGACTCGCCTCCGAAGCCGAGGGCCTCGGAATATCTTCGGAGCGGCAAAGTTCCCAAGAGCTCCCTAGGCCTACCTGCAGCATTTCCGGAGGGAGGACGTCTGGCAGGCTGTAGCCCTGCAGAGACAGGTCACGCAAAACTGCGTGCTCCCCAGCTGAAACCCATCTCCACTCGGTCCCACTCTCTCGCGAATCCCCCGCAAGCGGACAAGTCCTCATTGCAACCCCAGATCAAATTTCCTGAAGCTGTTCCTGAGGTTTGATGCTTGACATGGGAGCTGTTGAGCCTGAACACGACTCAGCCCAAAGTCCTGACATCTGTTCCCTGAATTCCCAAACTACTGTAAGAAGCAGCTCCCGATCCGGAAAAGGCTGCGGCCGTCTCCTTTTGAGGAGGCTTCGGGGTCCCTGAAGCCCAAAATCCTCTGCGGCCCGCCTGGCGCCGGCGATCTGCCAGGGCTGCTGCTAGGGCGAACTCCCCTGCATCTAGGGCGCCGTCCCCGTCGCGGTCGGCGAGCCTTGCGTACTTCGGTTCTCTGACTGCTGATGGGCCTATGTTTTCCATGCATACGCATTTTCGCTCCAAGCGTTCGGGTGACTAGCATCCGTATGTTTACTCTAGCACCAATACCGCCAATTGTTCCAACAGGCAAGCCGCTGTTGGTGCATAGAAACCAGTTTGTTTGTATATATATATATATACAAGATACAAGATATGTGTTTGCCCCCGCAGCTGTCAGGCTCACTGTTGGCACATGCTTGTAGCGTAAATAGCACAGTCCGTGCGAGATGCCCGATTGTCTACTGCAATTGAAGCAACTCCCAAGCACGCGGAGCCTCGACCCGACTTGACCAAAGCAACCCTGAGCATGAGCGCCCGAACCACCGGCATTCTGCAAAGTTCGTGCTAAAAAGCTCGTGTCCTTCTCCTGGAAGCTGTTCGAGTTCTTGCTCCCATTGACTTCTTGTGACATTCCCTCATCCTTTCTTGCCCTTCGCTTTGGTTTCCAACCTGCAGCACAGCCTGACTTTTTCTCTCCTGCACATGTTTTGGGAGAAACAGGAAGTCCTACCGTTCCTACCGGAAACGGGAATCTTATCGAAATCGATGGTGATCAGCTGTGGCTACCAACGAACTCTTTCGATCAGCCGCCAGACCAGCCCACAGCGGGGTCGGCACAAGTGCCGCTGAGCTATCGCAGTATTCTCGCTGCTGTCAGTGCTGGCCACCATTTGCTTGGCAAAATGAGGCGGCGCAGCAAAGCCAGTCACGCCACTGCCATCCCCTGCTGCACTTTCCTTCGGCTAGCGAGGCCTGCTTCTCCTTCGCGTAGCGCCCAGAATCAATGAAATCTGTGAAGAAATGCCGGACTTCACCCACAAACTTCGTAGCTCCATTCTCCTTCGCCAGATCTCGACCCAGAGATGCCGCTTTTTCTCGGATGTGGGTCGATTGCAAGCAGGTCAATATGGCTTGCGACAGCTCATCGGGTGAGGTCGAGCTCATGCCACGCAGTCCTATCCCGGTACCCTTCTCATTCATAAGCCTGGCATGGTCGAACTGGTCCAAAAGTATTGGTACAACCACGCTGGGGACACCACTCCTGGCTGCAGCATAGGTGGTACCGGCACCTCCATGATGCACGATGACGCTGCAGCGCGGGAAGAGCCGGGCGTGCGGCGCAGTCTCCACGAAGAGCACTCGGGAATCACAGAAGGAGCGCAGCTCGTCGGCATCCGGCTCGGAGTCGATGTCTTGGAGACCGAGCTCAGCCCAACCCCGCAAGAGGACCGCCCGGCGTCCCGTGGACTTCAGGGCTCGGAGGCTCAGGAGACTCATGAACTTGCCACTTCGATAGACCATGGATCCATAGCCCATGTACACGGGCGCCTCGCCTTTCGCCAAGAAGTCCTCCAAAAGCGCCAGCTCCGAGTCGCCGAAGTCGACCCCGACTTCCATCTCGGGCTCATAGCAGATAGGGCCCAACGCGCAACACAGATGGCTGAAGTCAGGAGGGAAAGGCCCGTGCAGAGCTGTGCTGACTGCAAAGAGACATGGAAAACGAGGGCTGCAGCTGCAGTGGTCGAAAAATTCCTGGTAAGACACAAGAAGGTCGGTGTCATGGGCTCGTCCAGGTTCTGCAGGAAGGGCCTCAATGAGAGACCTTGCCTTAGTTGCTGAGTTCATAAGCCCCCAAAAGTGTACACTTTCAGTTCTATAAGGGATCATAGAACCCCAAAAAGTGTAAAGTGTACTCACTCAGCTACTGAGTTGCCCCTTTCGACGAGAGCATGCTCACGACCAGCTTCCAGGCAGCTTTGTTTATGCCGCAACATCTGGGAAGCCTAGGCAGCACGCCTAGGGCACCGATGTAGTTGGAGGGAACCATCACCTGCAAACCCAGAAATATCACCGGGACGGGACAAGGCTGCAAGACCTTCGAGATGCAGAGGCTTTCCGTCAGGCCCATTGCCGAAGCGATGATCAGCTCTGGCTCAAAAGATTTCAGAACTCCGAAAAAGACCTGCACCGTCTCTGCACGGCAAGCTTTCCTCGAACGACACATCTTTATCAAGAAAGCACGGAGTTTTACATTGCTGTCCCCATGTTCTCTCGCTTGCTACTTTAGAGCCTTCGCCTGAAACTTCAGCCAAGTCACTTCTTGGCGGCCACTGCCCTTGAGATGCCTCGAAAGTCGTTGGCCGAGAGGGCTTCGACCACCTCTGGGCTGGTGGACACCTCGCGCGCCGAGAGCGGCACTCCTGCGAAGCGAAGACCCTGCTGCCTCAAAGCTGCTGCGGGTGCAGAGACGGCCGAAAGAAAGCCTCTTGCCTAGCTAGAGCCAGGTGTGCCATTCGGGGATAGTAGCAACCTGCGGCCGTGAAAGTGCTGCTGTTGGGTGCCCAGTGGCTCCACCATGCTCTCAACATCTTTGCAAGCTATGATCAGCACCGAGAAGCCGTCGGACTGCAGTGCTTTCGCTGCTGCCACATACGGCTGAGAGTCGCCCCGAGAACCTTCAAGCACGAATGCCACTCGTCGCATGGGCTTTTCCCACGAATGCGCGCATCTAAGCTCGAGGAGAACGGGGCTGCGATCGAACAAGGTGCTGATGCACCAGCAGGCTTAGAAAGCAAAACAGGTTGAACTGGTGGGCACCCAGCCTCCAAATCTGGCGCAGCTCTTCCGTCGGAAGTCCGGAACGCTCCAAAACCTTGAAAGCATCCCACATCCGTCGTGTGAGTGGTTCGATTATGGGAACTTTCCGGCCTCCTTGGCATCTTCAGCAGCAAGTACATCGCCCTGCCTAGGCAGAAGATTCATCCAGTTCCAGTTTCGATGCTGTCACGCTACAGCCGCATGCTGCGAGGCTTGAGAGAGGGCTGCTAGCCATCACGCGGTACTGTACGACAACCCATGGCGTTGCACTTTGGGGGTATATTATACTATAATAACTATAATAAGGAACCCTAAAAATAATATTGATATAATTGTTTAGCCAGACAGAAGCTCGCAGGCTCTCACTGGCCCAGGCCCATGGATGCCCATGGACAGAGCCCAACGCGCCTGGGAAGGGATGCGAAGAGCCTCAGATCGTGGGTTTTTAACGAGAATGGCGCATCTTCCGTGTCCAGGAGTCCAGTCCTGCTTAGCCGACGTGGGAGATGCCACTAAATCCCCCTAAAGCAAACAACCCCTGAAACCCTAAAACCCCGAACCAACGAGCTGCAGCGACAGCCTTGAGCAGACTTCGCGCGATTTCCCACGAGCAACAGCTCCAACATTTCCAAGAAGCTACACTGAAAAACAGCCTCAAGCAACAGCGAGGGGGGCTTTATCCCTGATCTATCTGCTCGGTCGAAGAGGAGCAAAAAGCCCGCTGAAAACTCCCAAATCAGGAATCGAAAACACTGCATCCTGTTCTGATCGATGGCCAGGGGCTCGCTGTACCGCTGCAGCTCCACCGGATCGAGGGACCAAATGTCTGTGCTATCTCCGCCTAGCTGCCGCGACTGAAGTGGGCCGTGAAGAGCAAACGACGTCAGCATTGATCGTGCACAGATGGTCGGTTGATCGTGCACAGATGGTCTGAATCCTGATCGCAAAATGCTGGGATGCGCTTTGCAATGCTAAGTTACAGTATGTTGCAGTATCAGCTTGCATGCGCATGCATGCATGCATGCATACATGGCATACATACACCAGCGTGACACAAGCATCCGTGGAGCCTGCGCTGTTGGCGAGGCTCGCTGCCAGCCTCTGCGACAATGCTGTGTAATGCAAGGGGGGAGTGTTTTGTTGTCCAGGTGAAGCTGTGGTTTGTAGCTTGACTGAAGGCGCATATATTCTCCAGTCTTGGCCGCGACAGTCATATTTGTCACCGTTTAGCACACAGTTTAAGAGCTATCTTCACAAACATGAAAGCGGGATCGTGACTGATATTGAAAGCAGGAACAGCACGACCCTCGTTCATGCATGCATCGATCAAGGTAGAAACTTAGTGGCAGAATATTGTGAGGAAGGGCTTCTTTCACTCGGGTGAGCATCTACCCTTCCGCTCTGAGAGCTGTGCGCTGGCGGCAGCTGGGACGGAAGCTCTTCGCCCTGGTGATATGCCGTATCGCAAGCAGAGATGATACGGTCCATACTAAAAGAACACGAGCTCTGTGAACTTGGTTGCAGAGAAGGCTTTGTGGCAGTGTGTTTGCGGCTGGATGAGGGTGTAGAGATATGCAGGGTTGGGGAATCCAGAATCGGTCCGTCTGCGATACTTAAAACTCTTCAGGGAATCTTTTTGCAGATCGGATCTTTTAGACACTTTTCCCCTCATCCGCCTCTCTCCTCAAGGATGCCAGATGGATCGCACAAGCGAACTCTTCGAAGCACAGCTCTCCGTCCTGACAACCACAACGGGGAGAAGCTTCTCAACCCTGGTCTGCCGTGGGCACAGCAAGCTGGCCTTTGGCATTCCGTGCTAAATCAGGTGTCCATTACTCATGGTACTGAGCGTTGCTGTTAATGCCAGATGCAGTGCGACGAGGAAAAGGGACTCCCCCCTTCCACCATGCCTGGTCCACGTCACTGAGCTGCCAGATCGCCTCCAGCTCCTGGTTCGGAAGCCTCGACCGCTGCAGAACCTGGAAAGAGGAACAGCCAAGGCCGTATGGTCCTTTCCTCCGTCTTTCCATGGGCTTCTAGATGTAATGATGATGCATGCAGCACGAAGCTTCCCCTAACCCTGTATGCCTCCTGCGCTTCCACTGCGCTCAGCGAGTCGGCATGCTTACGCTCAATGCCGTCAAAGATCTGCCGATACCTGGCAAACATGCTGCGGCGCGTCGAGGTGAGACGTGCTGTCGCTTCTTTGAGAGCTGTCTTCCGAGAATTGTGAAGCCGCTGGGTCTAGAATGGCTTAAACCGGGCATGGCTGTCAGATGCTTCAAGTATTCACTCCTTCCGTCTCTTATACTTCTCACTTCCCCTAACTTGAACAAGCTTGGCCCACTTTTTTGCTCATGGAAACAGGACCGAGGTACTGGTTGAGAAGCTCCGGATCGATCGCCTCAAGGCGCCGAGGCTTGTGCCGCGGGCTCTGACACGGACGAGGCCCTCACCCATCTGGAGTCATCTTCCGCAGGAAGCCTTCCGTGCTTGGAGGATCATGGGACTTAGTAAGCAAGGTTTTAAGTCCCCTAATTGGGGTTATAAATATAGTTACCTTAGTTATAACCCTACTTACTAAGTCCCATGATCCTCCAAGTGCCCGTGCTTCGACCGATGCATGAGATTGCAAACGGAGCAACGCCCGAGGCACACACGGATTTGCAATCTCTGGAAACTGCACCGCGCCCGCCACCAGCCTACAGAATCCAAGCAACCGAATGCGTGGAAGGTGTTGTGTGGGTGTGCGGCCTTGTCAAAGGTGAAGGCAGCTCCTGCCAACAGCACTATGTGGGTGCATGCGGAGCCGCAGACGTGCTGTGATCATGCATCGCATGTTGGGACATATGGGTGTCTAGCATCTGGAGCACTCTCAATATCACGTCTGGTTCTTCAGATTTCTTTAGAACGGGATTGGTTGTTGCACCTCCGGCAGGACAGCGCCGGCACGACGCCTGTCGGATGCGATAACACGGCAATCGGATCTCAAGATTCGTTGGACTGTTCAGCCTTCAAGAACAACTCAGTATCGACGATTTGCAGAACATGCACACCGATTGTTGGCCTTGGGGTTTGCACCTAGTCTGGTGGGTCTCAATTATCACACGTCATTCCACACACGGGCTGGAAGCCGTCGGCAAGTCAAAATGCGGACATTTCGAGAATTGATTTTAGGAAGCTTCAAGTCGCTCAACACGCACCAGGCATCCTTTGATGTCAATGCAGATACAAAACGCCCACAAACATACCACACCGAATGAACAGGCTCGAAACACCCCCCCTCACACATCGCTCCAACCATCCTCCACAAACTGCACGCAGCGTGTACGGTTGGAAATATCACCGAACATGCGCTGTCATGTTAAACTCTACTACACTAATACCATTCGATCGGTTTCGCGTCCGCACTCTTCCCCGCAATGCAGGCAGTAACATCGGATTTTCCTTGTGCCAGTAGTAAACTTGCAGTGATCTTCCGTGGTGGTCTTTGAAGAGAGATTCACCCGGCGGGAATGTTTGTGGGGATAGATGTTTAAGGGGGTGATTATCCTATGCCTGGGGGGCATGAGTTAGGCTGTAGGTGGCAGCTTCAATGCAGCAGAAGCCAGCGGGAGCCTACCCAAGCATCTTTAGCTGGTGATGGCTGCCGACGGGTCTGGACGAGATTTCCCAGCGCAGGTTCCAGCAGCACCGTGCGCCTGGCTGTGAGGTGCATGGCACAGGCGAACTCGCACAAGGCCAGCTCGCCATCTCCGTCCACCTGGAAGGTGCTTTGCGGTCGTCAGTCCATGCTTGAAAGATGTCCGCCAAGAACTCAGGCATCGCACTTATTAGTGTATTCCGTACAGCTGTCCTGTCTATTTGGCTGTCCTGTCTCTTTGAGCTTCTGGCATCGGCCAGGTACCAAATGGCTGCCAGCTCCGTCAGAGGGAGACCGCTGCGCTCCAGCACCTGGTCATTAACTACAAGCACTGTCTCAGCTGACCTGCAAAAATATGCAAAAATCATCCTGACTTCCCGCTCCGTCTAATCCTGTTCCGATATCTCGACTTCCGCGCGGGGCCTCCTTACCTCCCTGGGCTCCGAGGAGGGCGTCTGCGTCGCCCACCAGGCCTCGGCTCAGAAGGGCCATGGCAGCAGAGACATGACATGGGGGTTTCCAAAAATAGGGGACCCTAATATATATATATATATATAGATAGATAGAGTACCCTAAATAATAATAATAGGTGCCTTATTATAAGGACCCCAAAATAAGGTACCCTAATGTTTCGGAAAGTCCCACATGCCTCTCGCTCGCATTTTGTTTCGGGTCGGCGCAAGACGAGTGAAGGCACGGATACTACCTTCTGCAATTTCTTACACTTTTGCTTCTCCTCTCTCATACGACTGATACATGCATGTAGTGTACAGGTATATACACACGTACAAATAAATAGATATAACTATAAATATATATATATATATATATCTCTCTCTCTGTATACGTATGCTGATTGCATGTAGATGTATGTGGGTGCCAGCACCACATGCCATCTTCATACACCATGGTAGTGCATCAACGCGATCGGCGTGCTCGAAATTAAGGTCGCTTCTGCAATGGCTCCTCAAAAGGTGACACGCTACTGATGTTGGTACTGTAAACCAGCCGAGAACTAGAGTTCAGAAAATCCGCAAAGCCGCGATTCCAGCCAGGACAGCTTGGTCCCCTGCGCAGGAAGAGCTGCTTGTAGTCGCCGAGCTCTTCGGCCGAAGGCTCCCAGAGTGCATCATCCGAGCCTGGTCCGAGGAGAGGAGAGACGGAAGGAAGTCCGAAGTGACCAGAGAACGCCAAAAACCTGTTACTTAAAGGATCATGGGACTTAGTAAGTAGGGTTATAACTAAGGTAACTATACTTATAACCCCAATTAGGGGACTAATGACCGTACTTACTGGGTCCCATGATCCTCCAAGTAGGAGTCAGGCCACCTGCTGGCTTGATGGGTCCAATGCTCTCCTCCTCCAGGCGCCGGTCTCCACGGTCTTGCGCACCCACGTCGCCCGCCACTCGAGGCCCTATGGAAGGCAGGTCTTCCTTGCAGCGGCCGGAGGCACTTCGGAGGTGCAAGTGCGACCGGTTCTTCTGGGCATCTCGCCAGGGACACGGCCTGCAAAGCCGCAGGTAGCAAGGAGGGCAGGGCGGCACCCTGGCGACGCCTCGGCCATGTTGCGACAGTTTCATGGAGTTCACGGGGTAAATTGCTGCAATTAGTTCACTAGTTAGTTCTACGCGCCTCTCTGCCAGAGTCATCGCGCACATGAACTCGCCGAAACGGAGGCACCCGTCACCGTCCACATCCTCGAGCCGGACCGCTGCCAGGACTTCATCACAAAGGAACCCGCAGAAGGATCTGCTTAGCCGAGTGTCAGATAGGCTCCATATCTGCGAAAGCTCTGAGCGTGGCAGCTGTGACCTGCCCGAAAGGGAATCTGGCCCATCTATGATGATCTATGTATTTGTTACTCGAAGTCCCGGCCCACTGGAGGGTATCAATCCCGCTGTCACGCGCCTCTCCAGAATTTGGCCTGCCTCGTTGCAGCACAAGAATGTACAAGGCTCGTGATGTGTACTCTACATAAGCCACGGTTCATGCACGAAGGAAGAGGGTTGAGGGTTCAAGGCACTGCCTGCTACCAAGGGCGCAACTCCCGCAAGGTGGATCCAGAGATGTGCAAGCAGTTCAGGCTTCATGAAAATGACAAGGGCCCCAGCATCTGCTGCAGCCAGGAACCCGCCGTCCCGGGGCGCAGAAAGGAAGAGCTGCTGCAAGCCTCCCAATCTACCGCTCTATGCCCAAGCGATGCATGTCACGTTCACTGATTCCGCACTTGCGTGGACTGCCCCAGGGTGGGGAATCTGATGCATCAAGATCTTGTCTGGACTTCTTGCCTTCACGCTCTTCAGGCGTCACGTCCCAGGAGACCTCTGCCAGCCTTCCAAACAAAGCTATGACGACTTAAACTAGCTTCTCCAGGTCAGGTCTCTATCCTGTTTGGTAGGATCCCACGGCAAGCTAGGCCCACCACTGCGATGCGCTTCCAAACAGTGATGGCCTCACTGCAGCAAGATGCAGGCCAGTTCCGATACCGGATCCTGCATCTATGATTCAGTGCCGAAGGACTGCCACAAGATAAAAACGTCTTGCAGTCATGAGTTCTTGATGTTATGCTCCGACAGGAAAGCTGGGTCTCGTTTTTCTGACTGCTGAACGAAACCTGCCACCACGGAAGACAGCCCTCCAAAAATCTGTACTTCCACAGCCATTTCCAGCTACTGTTCGCCGAGTCGTTCCTTGCGGCAGGTTGCATGCTCGCTGACAAAAGCGTTTTTGGTCAGAAGCTTGGGGAATGCATATACAAACTGTGGCTACAAACTAATGTCAGTTTCGGAGCCAAGCACGATCGGCATGCACACTAATTACCAATACTATTTGGGGGGTTCCTTATTCTAGTCATAGTATAACTTAAAACATCCGCTAAACGCCATTCTATACAAATGGAGCCCTCAGAACAGACCGGGGACCAGACGGCAGGAACGGTGGAAGCTCGGCACCTGCGGGTTCTCCGGTTGCCGGGTTCACGGCGTGTCGTTGCAGATTCCGGTAGCAGGTGCCTTCAGCGATGGTCGGGTCCTACAATGACTATGATGACACAATCTTGTGAGATAGAAAGAAGAAGCAGAATTATGCCGGCGAAGTAAGAGCCGTAGTCCAAGAGTACGTCTGCACAGTACTTGCGGCATGCTCGCAAGCCTTGCTCCCCAAACGAATCCAAGTGCACTGCGTGCTGAGCAGTTCCGGACGGCAGCTCCGCGGGAGCACGAAGCGATAAGAGGCTATCCCCTCACGCAAAACATGCCAAAACCAAGAAAATGGCAGTGGCGCGAACACGACTCTTGAATTTGGAAAAACTCCGACCAGGCTCCAACCCTTACAGCGGTGGTGTTTTCGAGACCATGCCGAAGAGCCCGAGGGGGGCAATGGGTTATGATTACGAAAATGAGGGGCATCTGGCCTGTTGGGGCGACTTGAAGTACATCACGCGTAGGCCACAGGCAGAAGAGCTATCGCAACAATATCACATGATGATGACGATGATGATCATCATCACCTTCGTCATTACCATCATCAGCCTCCTAATCCTTACAAACGCTCTCTCGTCCTACCGAATTCAAGTCTGCCCGCCTTTGCTCCGGCGGTCAACAAGTGTGGCAGCCACCGCAAACCTCTTGCTTCAGTGCTTTCTCGTAACGCTCAGAAGGATGCTGATAAAGGCTTAAAGGGCTGATGCTTTTAGGGTTTAAGGTTTGGGGTCTTTATAGGGGCTTTACAGGTTTGCAAGGCGTGCAATTCTGCTCCATTTGTGGAGGTTACCAAAATCGTTACGACTCCTCGTGCCCCTTCCCTCTAGTTTTGGAGTTTTGGGAGTGATCCCGAGCTCTAAAGTCTCCCACCTTCGATAACCCAATACCCTAAGTAAAAAGAATAGCATTTGAATAGCAAGAACAAGAAGTTTCGATCACGATTCGGGCTTGTGCAACGTCAATGCGCTTTGGTTTGCCGGTTGCTGAGCGTATCTGCAGATACTGAAGATCTGCGATTCGTCGATTCGTCGGTTTTTCAGACATACGGTTGGGAGTTGGGAGAATCCATGAGACCAAACAGCACAGAACCAATTCACTTTATTCATGCTGCAGCACTCTGGAGATGTTGACTTCAAAGGGCCGAAGGTCGTTCTTTGGCGGCCATGCCGGAGGCCCTCTTGTTCGAGACTGTTGCTCCCAACCACTGGATGCACTGGAAAAGACACGAGCGACACCAAAAACAAAGACTCCAGCCACAGCAACAAAAAGGCACATGCGACGCCCCCTCTGATATTGATCTTCCTTTGAGAGACCCGGCGTAACAACGGGCTGGCTGCTTTTCATGAAGTCGGGCACCCTTTATTCTTGTGCCTTGTTTCAAATCGCAGATGAGAATGCGATCCAAATCGCTGCCAATTTAGGCTGCAAGGTGAGTCTTGGCGATTAGTGGGTGGTCCTTGACAGCTGCTCTTCAGAAAACTCCAGCTGTACGACAGAAATGAGCTGCCCTTGCCTGAAATACATACCAGGAACTTGTTGCTGCCAAATCATCCCCTAAGCGCTGCACTCTGCCAGGGACAAGCGCCCATCACGGCCTGCAGCAGTTCTTTTGTGCGGTCTGGACTCTTCAGAATTGCTTCACGCTGTGTCCAAGCCCAGCTGGTCACGCACTCTGCTCTTCAACGGTACGTCGCTCCACCTGCATCTGCCAGGGCCCAGATCTGAGCAAGATCCACCGGCTGGAGCCTTGGCAGAGGCAGAGTCCAAGTCCACAGACATCAAACCCGCCGCACCGCATCGCATCCCGTCCAGCATAAGCCATATGTACGCGCAAGGCAAGACCACGCTGCTGTCACTGCACATCGCGAACTACGCTGTTACCTGTACCACAAATAATGAACTGCGCGTTGCTGAAAGCATCTCAACTCCCGGGCTCCCTGCCCGGAGTGGTCGAAGTGACTTCGTGCGTCCGCGCCCTCGACGAAGCCGTCCTGGACAGAGCGCGGGAGAAAACCTCTGACGACTCGGACGCTCCCCTTCTGCTTATAAGCCTAGTTTCACGACTCACTTCCACCCTTGTCCCCTTTGATCCAACCGCTCGGGGGGTTGTGGCCTGGTTGAAGTCGAGCCGTGCCTGAGCAAAGGACATCGCAAATCAGAGATTTTTGGGAGTACCTTCTTTTGGGCCCCTTATAAGAGGATCCTACTATTTAGGGTACTGTATAAGGGCTATTAGGGTCCCCTGTTTTCGGAAAGCTGGTCGAAGCTCAGCAACTTCTCACCGAGGCGCGAAGGTAGCAGCATAGTCGCCAAAGGCAGTGGCATCAATCTCCCAGGGGCCTGCCCCGAAAGCCGAGAATCAAAGACGGGGGAAGCTCAGCGGACAAACAAAAACGGCAGAAACCTCCAGGAGGCTCATCAGGGACACTGGGACCTCAGGCTGTCGCGCTGGCGCCAAGAGAGGAAGAGAAGTGCCGTTAAGTTGGGCTTGGGGTTTAATGTTTATAGGCTTTGGGGCTTAGTGTTTAGGGTTTATAGGCTTTGGGGTTTAGGGTTTTGGGAGGAGAGAGAGTCAGTCAGATGCCATCCACCAGTAGTCAAGCTGCTGAGCCTCCTGCTGGCGGTCTCACTCGCAGCCTGTGCATGGTATCGAGGATGCGCGAGAAGCCGAGCCGAGAACTACGCTCAGGGGATACGACGTTCCGATGCTCTGATCTTGAACGATCGTCTCTTTCATGCCCTCATGGAGACATCTCAGCATGTTTCCGATAAGAACCGAATCAACGACCAGGCTTGCAAAGAAGATTGGAAGAGTGCAAGACATGTCGCGCAGGAGTCCGTTCGGGAGACTCCATGGCCCCGCACAAATTCAAGCGACAATACAATGTCTTGCCGACCCTATATGCGCATCCTGTGCGAATGAACAAGCGGTCACATCGCTTGTCGCGTAACGGAGGTCTCCAATTGCTAAATCGCCTGTCTGCGACGAGGATGAAACTACAGTTCAAGTAACACGAGCTGCTTGGACAACATCAGCTACACTTCTGTGCACAGTCTGTCTTACAGCCATGTCGTCCTGCGTGGCCCAGGTAAAGTCAGCAGCAGTTCCAGGGCTGGCCTTGCGTATGCCATGGATGGATACAATACTATATTCTGCTACATAGTACCAAGTATAGCATATCACTATTGCTGTACTATATCATGAATGTGTTACACTATCTTTAAGGGGAGCAGAATGTCATGTGAAACATATAACATCATATAACAGCACATGTGACGAGCACGCAGAGACTCAGACCAGGATTATGCGAAGCCTTCTCACAGCCTGGCAGGATGGGACTCACGCCGCCTTGATGCTGACGATGGCTACAAAACTCATTCGATGGTAAGGTTGAGAATCGTCACACCGGATTAGTCAGATTAGTCTTTGGGACTACCCGAGTGAAGCTGATGGTTGCTGTTGTTGTAGGATCAGCACTGGAACGAGTCTTCGAAGTGAGCGAGACGGGGAAGATCGGGGAACGGTCGACTGCGCATGATCCCACGGCAGATGCACGAACACGCTTTCCAAAACTGCTGCTGGTTGTGCTTGGTGCACGGCCGGAGATGGCGTGTAGAGCCTGAGATGGAAGCCATACCGTCCACCAGATCCGAGTCAACAAGGCCATGCTCTCAGTTCGGCCCAGAAGCTGCTTGCTCTCCAACTTCCGCTGCGAGTGCAGGAGCACTTGCTGCTGCTCTTGCTGCCTTGAGCAGGGCTCAAGCACGCTGCGTGCGGGGCGACATGCGGTGAAGTGGAAGTACAGCGTCCATCCTGTTTATGATGCGGCTGTAACAAAACGTATACGCTGTCGCCGGGACGCCGTTGAAGCAACGTGAGGATCTTCTCAATTTGCCCGTGAATCTGCAAAGGTCCTCGTACGTACGTGCGGCAAGCTCGTGGGAAAGCTGATTGCGGCTGAACGAATGCTTCTAGTGTTGCAATTGCAACGGTGACAAGCAGAACAGTATTATCAATATTAACACTATTCAGTTTAGCATGGAGATGTCAGTCCTGCAGCTACCTCCGTCGGCCTCGGCATCACACTGCAAACATGCAAACCCTGCGCAGTTCTCACTAAAAGGACTTCACCATGAAAACAACGGCCATATCCTGCTAGTCCGGCTCCTGGCACAGATACCGCTTGGACCAATTCATCATAATATCCTAAATCCGCACACACACACACACACACCCTCATCGGGCTCTTGGGGTCCAGGCTCCGGCCGCGTCAGACGCGAGGCCGGGCTCGGGCCTGCCAAGTGCGAAAGCAACGGTTTTCGGTACCACTACCCCGCACAACTACATCCAAGCAATGTCCTGGTGTCTGCGCTACGACCATTGCTATGATTGGGCTGCCCAGTACTGCTCCTGCTACTACTACTCGTACTACTCCTGCTGCTGATGCCGCTGCTGCTGCTATCACCACACGAACAACACCTGTGGAAGAACACTTTGATAGGAGTTATAGGACGAAAGCATAAAGCCAAAACAAAAATCAGGAAACGAAGAGCTACCAAAAAAAACGGCAGAGACCCTGCAGGCTGGAAAGCTTGGCCTGGCGAAGCCTCCCACCACTCCAGGACCTCCTCAGAAAGCACAGCAAGGAGAGGAACCAGAAACGAAATTTGGGGTCTCCTTTCCGGCACCAAATCAAAAGAATTTCTCCTGTGAGGGCTGGGCCAGTGCGCGAGCACTGAGCAAGCTTAAGGCTTCAGGTATGTGGTTTAGGGGCAAGCTAAAAAGGTCCAAGTTAACATGCGCACAGTCATGCAACACGAACGACATGGTTTGGCCACAGAAAGCCAGCAAACAAGCAACCAATGGTTAACTGAAGGCGCCCCAAGTCCTGCAAAACTGAGAGCTGCCTCAGCCGACCCTGGCAACTTGCTTCGTTTGGATATTCTGTCAACAGCAGAAACAACAGAAACGGAACTACTTCACTATGGTTTTTAACGTTTTCTGATTGACTATGGCTCCGGCTATGTGTTCCTAAAGCTTATACCAGTATTATGTACCAGTCTCGCATTCTTCCCCAGTCTCAGGCCACTCGCCCCCCAACCTCGCGACTGAGGAGCCGGCGTCCTCCCTGTCTTTGTCTTTGAGGCTGGAGAGTGTGGTGCCCAGGGTCTCCTGTTGTTTGTTTGTTCTCTTCTTTGGGGGGAAACCCAAAACCCCAAAACCCCTAAACCCTAAACCCCTAAACCCCTACACCCCTACACCCTAAACGGTTTCGGGCTTGGGGGTTGGCAACATGCTCCGTACACGAGGCATGAGCCGGTTGCGCCTGGTGTTCTTTGACTTGCTGCTGGTCCTCAGAAGCTTCGGCGGTCCAATGGAGCCGACTCCCCCTGTGGCCCTCTGCGCACCTTGCGCAGCTCGGCCATCATCTCGCGCAGATTGCCCAGCTCCGCCTTGCACAGGGCAGTTGTTCTGATCTATCCCTCCACAGAAAGATGATGATAAAGATGATGATCTGCTTGACACAGTTCACGTTCAGTCCAGAGGACATCACCGCGCGACCGCAAATAGTGAACGCTGACATGGGGCTCGGGGCTGCCTGAAGGCGTTCGATCTCCTGGCGTTCGATCTCCTCCCGTCCGTCCTGAGAGGCAGGCTGCGAACTGACACCACGCAAACACGGTGTTGGCGGCCTTCTCAGCACTTTCATAGGCTGCCGTCCTGGCAAGCAAATGGCTGCACTTCGCTGACACTGGACCCAACGTAAGAGCTCGCAGATGGAAGTCATTCGGCTCGCCTTGCCGTCGGCAAAGAGCCGTTCCAGCCTTCGTGCCATGGGCTCCCTAGCATCGCTGGTTGGCTGCAGAGCAACAGTTTGGGTTCCGTTCCGTGGCCTGACGCGGCCGAGATGTCCGCTGTGCCGAAGCCTTGACCAGGTCAAGACTAGTGCCCAAAGCATGAAACAAGCAGGCTGCAAGCCCTGGGGCGAGGCCTCCTGGTTCGCTTGGATGCAACCAGCCTGCTCGCAATGTGTGCCCTGGTCTGGTATGGGGTATGGGGGGTATTCAAGCTTTCATCTCAGCGAAAAGGGCCGGAACGCCTTGCTTTCTGACTGCTCCGCGCGAGACTCTCAGAAACACCCAGTACCAACCCTTAGCTGTAGCTGATAGGCCGGAAACCTTGGACCCCGAACTCGTGCTAGAGCTGTTTGGAACTTCACTAAAGGGTATACAAACGTAACATAACATAACATCGCAACTTACGTAGAGTGTCGTAGATAGACCTGCTCACAACCATATCGTTGTGTAGACTACCAACAGCCGAATAACCCTCCGAGCTCGTACAGTTCAGCTGTGACGTTGACATCAGGCACAGCTCAGGCGCCGTTGGTCACCAACTCGCCGCTCACCCACGCCTGACCACGACTTGAGGCTGCGGTTAGGAATTCTGATCAGAATCGAAGACTTGGTAAAAGAATGAACTGCGCTAGACTGAAACTGAACTATGCATGCACTATCACGGTGGATCCCCGAAACACTTCGGGCAATTCGAACATCCCAAATCCACCCGACAGCGCATGACGACCTGAGAGGCACGCCTTCCTCAGTGCGAGCGGGTTGAAGAAGACCGGCGCCTGCCACAACTTGTTTTGTTTCCGCACCACATGCCACCGGCCCAAGTCAGCGAGCCAGTGCAAGAATCCCACAAATTCCCTTACTAAATGGCCCCCCAACACCCGTCAAGCCGCACCTTGCACGGGAGTCGCGGCGGTCGCGGCCGCGTGGCCGCGAGTCATCGCGGTTGGAGCGCGGTTTCGGGGCACCGCACTTCCGGCACTCGGTGTTCCTGCCCAGGCCGTGTGAGCCAGATGATATCTCGTTCGCTTGCGTGGGATGCAGCTCTTGCCTATCCCAAACCCCACTCTAGCTTGGCTTTGTGGATAACTCTGTCGTGGCGAACACGGTGTGTTTTGTCGCAGTCATTTCATTTCGAATGGCCTCCCTGAAATCGGTGGGAGCTGTGCAAGCATCTGCTCTGCGCGACGTTCCTGCCTTGCAAAGTTATAATCGCCACATGATGGACATTCCCAGTCTCCTGCCTCAGTGCAGAAACCGCAAGCCGGAATTAGCTAAATGTTGCGAAACCCCTGAGCCGACACTAAGGACCTCGCTCGCTGCTCGAGGGGTGGTCGATTTGGTGGCGGCCCGCGGCCACGGCCCCCACCTCCACCTCGACCTCCTGACCTTCGGAGATCTAAGGCTTTCTAGGTCTTCGGTAGCTTAAGGATTAGAGCCTGGGGACTCGAAGAATGTGCGCAGCCAAGCTGAGCAATTCAGAGCGCCGCCTGGATCGGCGGCGCCGGCTGCGGCTGCGCCGGCGGCTTGGCGAACGCGAGCGCTTCACCTGGAAGGGCCCAGCTCACGAAACCGAACAAAATGCCGAACAGAAGCACAGCTGAAGTTGCATCCGTTTTGACAGTAATCTATCGTGCTATGCTCGAGAGACATGCCTGCAGCAGCTGCACATGCAACCACCGAAGATCCGCCAGAGACAAAGCATTCTAAATTCTAAGTGCCACGCAAGATCTATCATTTCGACATTCACAGCCTCGCGACAAGTGACTCTAGATGCCCGTGCTCGGAAAGATCAGGCCTCTAGCGGACTATCGCAGACGCGTCTTCCCCCATTCTCTTCCTGACTTCCACTGCACCACTGCAGGTCCAGCCTGCATGCTCTTCTTGCTGCCCTGCGGCTCCTCCACTTCGAACGATATCCTCCACAGGCGAAAGATGTTGCCCTTGGGAAGCGTCGGCCCGGCCCGGCCTGTCTCCGCGACGCAAGCCGCGCGTCTTCGCATCGTATCGCTGATTCGTGTCCTGAGGTAAGCTGGCTACTGCGCGTAGAGCTGGAATGAGGGGAGTAGGCTGTCGAATAACGATCGCATCTTGCGGCCTGCGGCTCACCCTAACAAGTCTTTTGGCCAGCTTGCAGCAGGGAGTGCGAGTACTGAAGCAGCCTATGGCTTGTGCATCCGTGCATCCGTGATGTACTCCGCATGAGTGAAGAGATCCTGGCCTGGGGTGGCACAAGGACCCGTCGAGGCCATGTCGGCTTCAGACAGAGCATGAACCTGAAGAGAAACGACTCTGCCGGGTGCAAGCGGGCCACGGCCCGAGTCGCAGGAGACGAAGCCGAACTGGCGGTCGTTATTCCAAGTGTTGATCGTGCCCTTCTCACCTTGGCGAATTCCGTCGCACTTCCGAATAAAGACACGCACGCACACTCGATAAACAGCATGTTGCTGCAGCAGCGTTGCGACATTTCTGGCAAGTTGCGCTTGCCCCCGCCCCCTCCACGTGGCCTCGAACCGCTCCGTCCTTCCCAATCGCTCAAGCGTGACCCTCGTGCAAAGAAGTCAAGCTCGTGATGAAAGATAACTCTCGAACAAAAAAGCTGAAACATAAATGTGCATCTGTGTGAAGACATGATGACACATGATGTGACTGGAGATGTATGTGCACTGTGGTTCACATCAGGCGGCTTCTGTCGAAACTTGGGCCCCGATTGAACCGAAGAGCCCTCAAAAGACACCTCGCTTCGGCATGGCCTCGGCTTTGGCTGCGACTGCGGCTCCGTCCCATCGCTGCCCGAGCGGCCTGGAGTTTGCGGGTCTGAGCAATGCAATTTGATCTTGTTGAGTCCTTCGATTCACATCGCCGCGCCACCCTCCTGCATTCCGAACCTCAGCGCTGGAGCGATAGGCCCGGAGCTGGCCGGGTTGGAAGCACTGGCTGCTAGCCTGCAAGTTGTGGAATCGACCTGACGCTGTTCGCCGGCTGTCAGGGTGAATTTGATCCTTACTTAGCCTTCATAGCCCATGTCCATCCTACAGTGTGGCCAGTGTGTAGGTTTCGGCCTGTCTTGGCTGAGCTTGCACATTGAAAAATAGCCCCTGCCCGGCCCTGCCCCCTTGGCTCAAGAGCCCGGTCCATCAACGGCGCGGCAAACATGCAAAAATCAATATGGCGCCCAAGCAATGAACAATATCATTATTTATTATTATATTTAACATATTTTCTAATCCAATATTTTTACGCATGCATCGGCGGCACCTGGCTTCAGAAGACTGGAAGTTTCTAGGCTCTCTGCTTGGCCGTCCGGCCTGCTGCTGGCCCTGGCCCGGCCCCTCGCGCACTGATGGTCAAGATTGGGGGCCGCACACCGGACATCCCCGACCTGCCCCATGGCGTGGCCGAGCCAACGCGAAAGGGTTGAACTCCGCGGCCTGGCCGAGCCCCGCACGAAAAGAAGGCACCCCTCAAGTCCGGAACCAGATCCCCCGAGCCCGAGCCCGAGCCCGAGCCCGCCTGGAGGTCAAAGCCGTGCGGAGCACAGAGCTCTACACCTCCTGGGACGAAGCTTTCCGGCTGCACGAAGAGACCTGTCACTTTTTTTCTTTGACACCCGACCCACTCCGGTTCCCAGGAAACCCAACTCTTCACCTGCCAAGGTCTGCAGCGCCGCGCGGCGCTCGGAGGACGTGTCTGCGCAGTGTCCAGTCTTGCCCATGCTCGTCGTGTGCATAGTGCTTTACCGTCACTCTACTCTACTTTCCGGTAGCAAGCTGCATCCTCTCATCATCCTCTCTTGTGCGAAGCCCCGAGAAGCGCACCTGCGGCCTCCGGCGAAGGCCTGAGAGGCTGCGCACGGCAAGAGCAGCGTTGTTCGTGGAGTCTGCATCCCAGGTGCTCCATCTGGGAAACGCCCGAATCAGCCCATGCTGCCGTATGGCCATTGGAGTACCTGGGAAGAGTTGCCATGCACTCAGCGTTGACGCCTTTGTAATTTTGTCACACAGACTAAGCACCAGGCCCTTGGGAGGTTTGTCCCAAGTCGTAGCCGTCGTAGCCGGGATAGCCAGCGGTCTGCGCATCATAGCCGGCTCCACCGAAAGCTCCATCCTGGGTAGATGCTTCGCTGCACATGCGAAGCATGGGCCATAAATGCACCGAGCCATGGCCCAATCAGCAAAGGCTCAGGATGCGCTTGATGCTCCGGCGATGTCGCGGGAGACGGAGAGAACGGAGAACCTGGAAGTCACAGTGGCTGCCTACTCACCAGGACAGGCTGGTGACAGCAGCATTCCACGCCTTCACCCGTGTTGAATCCAGCGTCCTTTGCAGGATGCGGCGATCATGCTCCCGTCAACTGTTGGACCGCATGCGCGTAGTGTTATGGATCCGCTTCAACCTCTTGCCGAACCTGCACACGAAGCCACTCTGTATGCTACAGGTGAGCACTCCTCGGCTGTGGAGGAAGCCAGCCGCTTCTTTCGACTCTTCTTCCTCTCCTGCTGCAGTTAAAGCTGGAGCACATTACAACTTGCGTTTCCAGCACAGGGTGTCCAAGACGAGTGAATGCAGTTTGTGAGATGTCTCACAGGAACCTCGAAACCCTGGTCGCCACCGCCGTCTGTTGTCTTGATATGAGGAGTGTCGGCTTCTGTACCACAACGGATGTTGCTAAAATAGACCAACAAGGACGAAGCAAAACAAAGACATCAACGCAACGACCCGATGTCATTACGTGACACTAGATTACGCTACACATCACACAGTGCCGTGAACACTACAGTACACACTACATACCACACATTACAATGCAAGATAACACAGCACAACACATATACATGTTTTCCTCCACCTACATGTACACATGCGCACACACGCACATATACAGAAAAAAGAACAACCATACGCACATATACATGTTCCTACACCTACATGTACACATGCGCACGCACACATATACAGAAAGAAGGAACAAACATACGCACATACAAATGCATGCATGTGTAGATATGCAACTGCATTTACATGTACATATACATATGTACAAGCAAACACACGCATGAATACATGCAGAATACATGAACTTCTTTCTGCATGTATGTATGTAAGCATGTACGTATGAATAACATACATATGTTGAGTGAGTGAGTGAGTTTACATAGTTTACATGTAACTACCACTCGCTACATTGTGTACATCACTCTGTACCCCTTATGGAACTCTTATAGCCCGGCTTTCAACCAGCATAGAACCCTGTAATAAAAAAACTTATGCCCTGATAACGCCCTGATACATAATAACAACACTTAAAAACCCTGATAAGACCTCGTGGAACTTTCTGCAAACCCTCAAAGAACCCTTGGCCCCTGTAGATCGTACTTTCTACACCACTTCACTACACCGTCACCCCAAAGCCCGAACCGCTCAAAGAAGAGATGCTGCTTTCTTTCCCCCTTTCCCTCCTTCCGCTCCGGCGAGGCACTGGCCGAAGCATCTGCCGCCCAGCTTCCCAAAGCCGCGAAGGAGGCCTGGCAAGGGAGTTCCTCCTTCAGGGTCCCTCAAGGGATCTATAAGGGTTCTACAAAGGTTCCTTGAAGGGCCAGGATCCGGTCCAAGTCTTGGACACCGTAAAGTGGTTCTGTATGTGTCATCTGGCCTCCTCCCTTCAAAGGGGTTTATGCGGATTACTATACGGGATACTACGAGGGAGTAACATGGGGGCCTTGACAGAATAGAGCCTCTGCGAGTGTTCAGGGGTTTCGGGCTTGGGGGGGTGTTTAAGGAATTTTGTGAGGGTTCCATGAAGGTTCACAAAGGGTTCCGGGTCGTTCAGGGCGGTATGAAGCTTTGAGCGGAATTAGTCTTAGGGTTCAGCTGGGGGTGACGTTTAGGACATTGTAGAGCGTACCCCGCTGCCTGTAAATGCGCCCAGGAGGATGGGTTCCCCTCTTGATTTCGGAAGAACATTGCAGGCCACCTCCGCTTCCACAAAGGCTTCGTGGCTTTTGCCTTTGCCTGCAGTTACGAGTAGTTGGAGATATCTGCGTACTTTGCTGGGTCAGCTGAATGCCAGCAGCTAGGCCGTTGTAGCCAGAACTTACAAGTATGTTGGACAGTTTCGACTATCAGCTAGGATGACCACGAGATAGCAAAATGTGCATGCGAGAACAGTGGAGTGGTGAGGCCGACAACCAACACAATAGACTGCATAGCCATCACCGCAACCGTCATCATCACCGGTTAAACAGTGACCTTCATCTTCGCATTTTGTAGCGTTCTACCTTGAGCTTCGTCACTTCACCATCATCCGGGCACTATCTGTGACAAGTAGCAACATCAAGATGATGCTTCTTGTCGATGAAAACGGAAATCCTTGTACAACTATCACTAAGCAACCATTTAGCTTTGTGCTTGAAGCCGTGTCCGCTTCCTTTCATGCTTGTGCTGCCGCTTTTTTAACTACTTCCCACCATGAATACGACAGAGCCAACAGCTACAACTGCAGCGGCGAAATTAGCAAACAAAACCACAAGAAAAACAACAATCACGACGACGACGACAACAAAGATGCCGGCGACATCCGCAACACCAACACCAAAGCTCCTTAGCCTCCTGCTGCTGCTCTTCCTCCTCCTCCTCCTCCTCAGCCTGCTGCTGCTGCTCCTCCTCCTCCTGCTGCTGCTGATAAGCTGATCCTAGTACTACTACCACCCCCAACGACTACTACTAGCTGGTCCGGATCTAGGGTGTAGCTGCGTAGCTCTCCAGCCGAGGATCTCTCTTTCTTTGGCGAGCTTTTGGAAGGCGAGTCCTGTCTACACGCTGGACGGCGAAGTGGGCAACACTCCCTAACATAAGGAGATGATCGGGGGTCAAGGTGGAGGAAGATTTCAACTCCCTTTGAGACTTTCGAAGCTTGGGCTTCTTCGTCTGAGAAAGAGTTCAGCAGAGCATTCCGGCCAGCTGCTGCAACCTCCTCGTCCTCCACAAGCTCAGAAACACAAATTGCGAAAGACCCCAAGTGCGCCTCTGCGTTTTTCTTCTTGTCCTTCTTGTCCTTCTTCCCTTCCTTGACTTCCTTCCTGCTGTCCTTCTTCTCCTTCTTCTCTTTTTTCTCCTTTCTATCCTGGTCGCTCTTCTCGCTCAGAGGAGACGCATCCACCTGCTCGCAATGTCGCTCACGCCACTTTGTACAGTTGGTGAGAGAGGGGGGACACTCTACCATGTCTAAACACCTAATACTCGTGACCAGTGCTAGTCACCAGAAACAGTAGTTGCTATTGCAATGATACTCACAATGAGAATCATCCTGAATCAATGCCCCTGGCCTCTTCGGTCTTCTCCTGCTTCGCCTGGGTCTCAGCGCCGCCGGTCAACGACTCACCTGTCCAGGCTGGTACCAACTCCCTCCCAGGAAAAAAGGTACCTGCCCTCGCTCCCCAGTGTAGAGACTGCTTGGTTAAGTAGTATTATTAGGGGTACCCCTTAAAGGGTACCCCTTCTGAACCCTACTGTTGGCTCTCTTAAAAGGGACCTTATTGAGAGGGTCTATATCCCCAAGGGTTCCCCTAATCCTAGCTCCCATTGGTCATGTCCCGATTGTATGAGACTTCTTCCCACCTCGAGCCAAACGGACATGTGGCGGATCGACACCCGGTTGCGCATACTTCTTCGTCTCGTACTTCGCACCTCAAAGTATGCTGTGCCCTGTAGGGGGCCAAAAGGGGCCGCTTTCGGAAGGCAGCTGCATCTCTGCCGCAGAACTTATGGGCTGTTGGAAATGAAAGCTAGCTGAGTCTGCGGTTCTTCGGAATGGCCAGTGAGATGTGAGGACAGGTTGTAAATCGTTGCAACTGCACTCCAAAATTTGCTCTGCCTGCTCTGCACTGGACGCCGGCAGGATTCCGACATGATGCTGTTGTTTTGACTCTCGCTAGCCTCTAGACGAGGGCACCACGCTAAACACTAAGGCGAGGGCGGATCCAGCGCTCCATCTTCCGGGCCTCCACCGGGTCGATCTTGTCGCCTGCCGATCTCCAACCCAGACCAAGAGATGATAAGCCGAATTCTGCAGAGGCTGCTACTTGTACACCCCCGGGCCGAAAGTTTCGACACGCAGCTTACATTGCCACTAACGATAACATGTACCGCGGAGAAGCGGAGAGACCCAAGACCTGTTTTACATGGCCAGCGTGGCGGAGTAATTACTTTCCGGGAATGAAAATATACTACTATATAGTTTCCGGCGGAGAGCTGCAGGAGGTTGTGCTAGGAGTCTACGGGGGAAAAGGGGCGGGCATGTGGTGTTCTGTCTTAAGTTTATGATGCATGGCGAACTTTCGTCCTGCAGTAGTAGGGTAAGGTGCAGGAAGCGACCCTTTGACAAGAGATTCGCAGCAAGGCCTGCGGCGGCTTGCGACTTGCAGAGGTACTTGGCACCGGCCGGGACATTGTACCTAAGTGCCACTTCATTCTCTTTCATTCTCTTTCGGAACTTCCTGCCCTATGTTCTCGTCGGGCGGAACGACAGATCATATTCCTCCTCGCCGGGACACTCGTAGTAGGCGTTGGAGCGCTCGTTGCCGATGGTGAGGCACGGGACGGCCTCTGGAATCCAAGAAGACTCAGCCGCTGGCTTTGGTTGTCCTAGACTTTACGTCTTGAAAGTTGTGGAGCCGGGGAAGAATAGAAGCTATGAGCCCACAGGGAAGTCGCCCTGGCCCCATGCTGGATCACCCCGGATCGCGGCTGTCTTGCGCACCTGATCCTCCTTCCATTTGTCCATGGTAGCAGACTTGACCTGCCGTCTTTATCGAAGTCCGAAGACAGGACTGTCGACCATGCAATCAGATGCTACGAATCTGATGTCCAGCTTTCCCAATTGCACGAAAACACATCGAGAAGCTCCATGTGACAGGCCAGGCTGTGGGCTGAGCTGGTACATGGGCCGTGAGAGCCGTAACAGTGAGTGAAAAGCTTTCTGTCGCCCCTGCCAACAGAGCAGAGCACCTTCGAGATGTGAACTCCGAGGTGTCGATGCACTCCGGAACCTCAACTTTCAATTTCCAGCTCCGGGCAGAATCTTCCATGCACGTGGTGACATGAAGATCCTCGATCGGGGCAGTCCGTGGCTCCCGTTTCTACGAGGCACCACTAAAGTTGCCGGAAGCTCCTTCGAGAACATGTCAATGCGATCCATGGAATAGCGCAACGGCCGAGCGGCAGGTTGTGCAAACCAGGATTCCCAGGTTCCATGATGCCCAGTTCGGACCGTAGGCTTTGCAGTCCGCACATTCCTGGCAGGCAGCCCGCTCAGCATGCAACAACCTCGTGATAGGGGGTGGAAGAAAACAAACACTCTCAACGAAGGCCTGCATCCTACGCAGGACCTGGACAGTCTGAATTCTGTAACCCCACTCCAAACAGGGAATTCACACCCAGTGGCGCCTTGTTTCCTGGGAGCTCGAAAATGGCACTCGGCGCACCCAAGGTCTCCCAGGGCATGGCGCCTGATCTGCTTGTAGTATGCAGTTGCATTCACACTCTTTTGCATCTCCACGGCATAGGGCATAGGGAGCGAATTTGTCCCCCCGCCCTTGATCTCCAGGACCCGCCTATGCTTTGGGTTTGATGGGGAGGTGAGAGTATGTTGGCAGGCGTTCCAACACCCGAAACATGCACCAATTATCTTCATACTAACCAGGTCACAAACCGTTTTCATTGCTTATGCCGAGACAAACTACTCTTGCTCTGTACGAGTAGCATACTACACCAGGTCCTCTCACATTGCATTGCTGGCTCTATTGGTTGGCTCTGAACTTCCTGTAAAGCCGTCCGTGGTCTTGCTCGAGTCCGAATCTGAGTTCGGAGACTTTGACCTAGCATCGCAAGCCTGATTTGGATCGTGCAGAACGTCTTCGGTGTGTCTGGCACCTGTGCTCTGTTCTCCGTTTAATGACCTGTCTCTCTATGCGCGTTGGATCAGAAAGCCGAGGAGCCGATGGCCCAGCACCTGTGTAGCCGCCGCCCGAAGCCTACTGCGAAGCCTAATCCCGAAAGACCTCACCCCACCTCGCACTTTGTCGCAGGCGCCGAGGGCATTGCTTTAAGCACAGAAGCCCTGGGTTTCGGGTCTGGGTTTTGGGCTCAAGGCTCGGGATGCAGGCTGTATGCCTTGGCCCCTCGGAATGCTAAGAGATGGGAACGAACTTCACGGCACAAATGATGAGGGCATGGTCGCTTGATGAGCAACAAGGACAGGATACTGATTCTACTGACAAACATGTGAATCTGGACGACAAGGGAAGCATCCACAGATTTGGCTTTGGGCGGTGTGCTGTCTGTTGGCTGAGACAAAGCAAAGGCTTGAGCTCTGCAGAAAGATCACGAGGCCGTCGGATTGAAAGCGCCAAAACATGTCGAGGATCCTGCAACAACACCACGAGTGACCGGCCAACATTGGATCGCCTTTTTCTTGAGTCCATTCCATTTTTGTTATCGCCGAAAACTCGGACCGTGCGCTTGGCGCCGGTAAGCATTGCTGCACTCAGCACCCCCGGAGTCTGGCATCGCAGCAAGCAGCCTAGGTCGAACACCAGCTACTTCAAGGTGGCACGTGCAACTTCTTTCTCTTCGTGCTGTTGCAGAGATCTGTGGAATCTAGCTCATTTCAAAAGATGGCTGCCGGCTGCAGCCGCAGCCGCCCCCGGTCATGTATCTGTCGGTTTGGTTCGTGGTTTCCGCTGGAAGTCTCGTACTGTGACAAAAGTCCCTGCAACTTGCTGATTCTTTCAACGCAAATCAAGCGCAAGGACTCTTCGGAATTCCAGGGTGCCGGCTTTACTAACATGGCATTCGCGGTAGCTCTGGTGGATTTTCTGGCCGGGCCGTACCACCTCGCCAGCTGGATCTGGCAAGATACGGGATCCAACATGATTATCAGCGTTGGCGAAGCAGAGGCGAGAGATGGGCAAACGGCATTGCTATACGTCTGCTCATCCACCCTAGACCGAACAGGCTAAAATCGCAAAGGCGCAACACCCTCTACCTTGGCGAAGGCCGCGTCGGCAGCAGTTGCGCCTTGGCTGCTCTCGTCTCTGCATTGAAGCCGCTAAACACGGAACATGCCGGAAAAAACAGCTTGAGAACCATGAGAGGCTTGGATTCATGCAAGCCTACACCGCACAGAGAACCAATGTTTTGTGTGACTGCGAAACTTTGCGTGCCCCGCAGCTTATCACACCTGGACCTTGTCACGATCAACTTGAAGCTTCAGCCAAGGCTTCGACATGCAAGGACCAACATGAACACAGTCGTCATCTGGACCTCGCTTTAATCATAAGGTCATAAGCTTCAGCAAAACTTCGAGAAGTTGGGAGAAATCTTCTGAGTAAAATGACAGACCCTGCTGTATGACATCGGCAAGCACACACACCATGCTGCTCGAGAGCCCACCTCAGCTTGCGACAAAGGGAAGGATGCCCCACCTCCCGGATGCACAAAAAAATTTGGACCCAGAGAGGTCGACAACGAACAGGGCAAACTCTGCAGGCCGGCTTCTTTTTGACTCCTTCGCATATCCCCTCAGGAAACAAGCAACCACCCCAGCCCCTCATTCTATGATCTTCGAATCTCTTATAGGCTCCAGATGGCTGCATCCACAACGCTTCGAAACACCAAAGTCCAAGGCCCACATCACCAAACGCTGCACCCCTATGACTTCACGAAAACCAAAACCACTAGCAAATCCACCATAGGCCAATTCCTCAGCCAGCACAGTCAGGCGGTGACGTCGACAGGCTCAGCCGTCGATCAGAAATCGCCCATCAGCGCCTGAAACGAAAGGTTTCGCAAGTCTTTCGGGATCAAAGTAGGGCTTGGCTGCCTGGTCTTTCCAGGAATGCGGATTTTAAGGCTCAGAGCCACCATGGGCCATCTAGGACACTGAAGAAAGTCGCGTTCTATGGGCTTCAGACGAAATCATCTGGATCCCCAGCGTAGTTTGGACGTACTGCATTGCAACCTGTCGCCTGGACAGAAGGATCATATATGATCCAAGCGTGCCTGCTGCTGCGCGATGCTTTGCGGAAGCTTCTGCTGCGCGATCCCTTGCGAGCACTTCTCTGCCTGCGAAGCGCGTTGGCAAGATGTGAGGAGCTCCGTTGCAAATGGGTCTGCTGGATTCTGTGGGTCAGGCAGCGCTTGGAACCTGGACTGAGTGTTGGGCATGTAAAAACTGTTGCCACTTTGTCCTACCTACAATCGGCCTCGGCAAAAGCTTTGCTGAAAGTTTGTAAACTTGCAAGGAATATGCAAAGCTACAACTAGCTCACGGCTCGCAGGATGCCGCATCACGCAGTGCGGGGCGGCAGCTCAGCCGAAGGTTAACCATGGTGCACTCTTACCCTTGAAACACAGAACCAGGCGGCATCCTGTAGATGGTCAGCGATGTCCTTGAAAAATGAGAAAGGCCTTGGGCCCTTGGCAAAACTCCACGAACTACGAAGAACAATCCCCGCTGTGTGCCATGCGTTTCCTTCCAAGCTCCTCGTGGTGTGCATCCTCTCGTCCGCTCGTTTCGAAACATACCATGCAATCTATGTAATAGTATTGGTAAGGACTGCTCGAATGGTGGTAGTCATGCCCCCGGTGCTTCTCATAAGAGCTATGGGCGCTTAGAGGCTCAGAATTGCCTGGCCTCGGTCCCCTTGCACGGGAGTCGCGAGCGCGCGAGTCGCGGCGGTCGCGTCTGCGAGAGTCGTCGCGCCGTGCAAAGTCCCGGTCTCCGGCCTCAGTTGCCGCGAGCCGACGGCTCCTACACCGCGGGGCCCTTGCTACCAAAAGCTCTGCAACCGCCAGCAAGAACGAACATCACCGATTCAAAGTGTTGAGGGCTTGGCTCGCTGCATGGGCCGACTTGGTGGCCTACCACCGCCGCCACCACCGCGACCGCCGCCACCACGGCCACCACCTCCAGACCTTCACAGATGTTGACAAGCATACTTACTATCCAAGCAGGACCAAGAAGGTATCGGAGCGTGTACCAATGCGGCCTCTGTTAGTGGTATTAGTGGTATAACGGCATCACCACTCCAGTAAAAATGCAGCAGTGTCCAACCTTGTGTCAAGACTCTGATGCTCAACTATTTATGATAAGCAGCCAAACATCTAGGGGAACAGCATGCGACCAATTGCACTCATCCGAACTCAACCCGTAAACCCCTAATTGCGGAAACCCCAAACCCGATAAACCCCTGTAACGTAGCACCCTGCATAGCCGGTGCAAAGCCCCACGCAACTCTCATGGATTCCTACAGCGCCCTGCAAAGCACTTGTAAACCTGCGAAAAATCCTTAAGAATCCCTCCAGAACCCTGCGAAACCCTTATGGCCCTGTGAACACGCTCCAACGAAACGAGGCTACCCTCAGAGCCGCATACACCCTACCCCCAAAAAAAACCCAGTATTGCAAAGACAAGAACTATTCTGCCCGTGTACAGGAGGATTCGGGAGTGCGGCCAGAATGCTGTCCACCAGTACTGGCGGAGCCCGAACCATGACCGAAATGCTTTCCCCGAAAAAATATTGGCTGGATTCGAGACCACGGCGCTTATGCTTCCCCGGCAAGGAAACCGATATCCTTGCCCCCAAGTACTGCTGCGATTGATAGGATGCGGGGACCAAACTTGCCCTGCACCACAGCGCGAGTCTCTGTGCCCAGAACCCAAGAACCCATTGATTGGGGAAAGAAACATATATACTATACTATAAACTATACTCATACATTATAAGTGATAAATTCTAACATCGAAAGTTCTTCAAATCCCCAATCTATTACAGCACCCTTATAAAAAGGACCCTTAAAGGGACCCTACTTTAGCGAACTACCCACAACCCCAACTTACCCAAAGCTCAGAGCCTGGACCGGCGAGGGCTGCGGCTGCGTCGGCGGCTCGGGGAGCGAGAGCGCTTCATCTGAGCCCCAAGACGCCCCCCTAGGGTTTAGGGTTTAGGGTTTAGGGTTTAGGGTTTAGGGCGCCCCCCAAAAAAGACAAGAGAACCAGCAAGGCTCAGCAAGGTTTTTAGAAGGGTTGGGGTTTAGGGTTGAGCGTTCCTCTGAGGGTCTTGGATACTGTATAAGGGGCCCTAAGAGGTCGAAGAAGTTCCTGGAAGGGGGTTGTGGGATTCATATACAGGCCCTTTGGGGTTGCCTCAAGGGTTCTGTAATAAGGAGGTGTTGCTCAATCATGTTTGCTTGGGTATGCCGTCAAACAAGCATGGGGAAGTATGGAACAAGTGCATAAGGGAGATGAGGGGATACTGCTTTTCATTCTGCCGACCCCTATATCACGTTCAGAAAGACCAGATCACGGGCTCGAGGGTTTCCGAGTTGCAGCGCTTGTTGGCTTTATTTACGGCTCTAGGATTTTGAGCTTTTGGGGGTTTGGGGCTTCTAGCAGGAGCCTCTTTGTAGGTGCTACGAGGGTCTACAGTATCAGCTTACGAGAGTTTTCGACAACTTCAACGCGGTTTTACAAGACGGGTTCAGCATCTACGGCTTTAGAGCTTGAAGAGACTGTAGAGTTCGAGGATTAGTGATTCGGGTTTGGGGCTTTGGGGCTATGGGTTAAGGCTTTTTCGCGAAGACATAGGTCAAAGTGAACATGCTAATCTGCTGGTGATTTTTCTGATAAACATCATATGATCGTGAAGGAAGGGCTCCGGACGATCGCCGAAGCCATCGAGGTGTAGCAATGTGGCCAAGCAAACATTGAGAGCCCCGCGAGCTCTAGTATCTCGACATTCACAGCCTGCAACTTCACCAAATCAGTCAGGTCCGCACCGCAGCTGCTGCAAGTGCACGAAGCAACTCTTCCATGCGCTGCTACGGGATACAAGTAGACCGGAGTTTCTACTATGCCGCAGGATGAACCCAAAGACAAGCTTCCGGCCTGCTGACTCTTCTTGTTACCCTGTGGCTCTTCGACCTCGAAGGATATCCTGTTGACAAAAGCTCAACAGAAGAGCCAAGCCAAGACAAAGACCAGACGCTGCACAAACCGAGCTGTGCTACTGAACTCTACGAGGCGGCAGCCGAACTCGTTGCACTCTTGAACCAGCCTATCCCCACGGCGCAAGCCACGTGTCTTCGCATCGTATCGTGCGTTGGTATCCTGAGCCAGGCCACGGGCAGCAGTCTGCCTCTGTGCAGGCTCCGAGATGAATCCATCTGCAAAACGGCGGCCGTTGCGAGACGAGGTACAGCACATGAAAGCAGTTTCATCGTGAGCAGACTTCGCGACCGAAAAGCGATCACTGCAGCATGATTGAAGTCCCGATGATCGAGATCCGTGACTGTCTCGGACTGCCACAACTCTAAATCCTAAAACCCTAAGCCCCAAGAAGACCAAGAGTCGGAACCCATTTCAAAGTAATACACTGAAACCGACTCTTTGGCTCTTTCCGAGCATCCGTGATGTATTCCGCATGAGTGAAGAGATCCTGGCCTCAGTTGGCATTTTGGGGTTCTTGGGACTGCGCCACTTGGGAGATTCGGCTGTCGAGGCGTTTAACCTCCTTTCAAGGCCGCCAATTTCCGCCGGGGCACGGCCAGAGTCGCAAGAGACGAAGCCGAACTGGCGGTCGTTGTTCCAAGTGTTGATCGTGCCCTTCTCACCTTGGCGCCAAGATGTTTTTTTGGCATCGCGGTTTGCTCTTTGCTTTTGGCACTCCGCAGGTACTGGAGAAAATTCTCAAAGCTGAGCGTGGCCGGAGTAACCCCTGTCCTTTCTTCCTTTCCTCGTGAGAATCTACGGCAGCTCTCGAACCCACCCCCAGAAATCTCAATGCTGAAGCCGGAATCGGCCCGCAAGCGGAGCTTCGCAGCCTTGCAAGGCTCCTGCAGACGGGTGGCGTTTGCCTCCAGCCCCGTCTCGCGGCTTCGAGCCACTCCCTCGGCACTTGTCAGACTTGTCAGATCTACCCATGGGATTTCTTCAGACTTACCGTGGCTTCTTGGGCGGCTGCGGCTGCGGCTCCGTCCCATCGAACCTGGAGGTTACAGCAAGTCTTTGGGTAATCGGCATACCATGAAAACAATCACATCGCTCGTCATATGATCTGGATGTTGAGCGCCAGCAGTCAAAAGGTCTTCCTTCACGTCACACCCTATTAACTATTGCCCAATCCCCGCCTCAGCGCTGGAGCGAAATGCTCAAAATCGGCTGCACTTGCTTGGACTGCTTGCTGTTGACGAATACGGGAAATCAACTTAACTGTGTCATTCACACATCCCGCTATCCTATGAATGCAGGGCTAGCAGCGGCATTTATTCCGTATTTTCAAGCCTCGTGTCGTTTTCGCCGGCTGTGCTTTCTTGGGAGAAGTCATAAGCTTATAGCCCAATAGCCGTAGCTGTGAATTCAGGCTGCTCTTGCAATTAGAACACACATGGCACGCGGTGGCGGCTCGGGACTGGCCCCTTCCTGGCTCGAGAGCGTCAGCGGGCGCGCAGCTCAGAAGAGGGAGGCTCAAGCGGAATGTGCTTTCAATGAACCGAATTCTGTGCTGCAGCTTCCAAATGAATTGAGGCTTACCTGAAGACAGCACTGTCAGCAGCAGGCACGCCACACGAAATGCTGCAATACTTCCAGCTCTGAGCAGGCTTGGTGCAACTACCTTGCCTGGGTGCCCGCTCCGCCTCAAGGATCTCCTCTGCAACTGTGGCCTCGTCAGCTCAGTCGTCGTCGCATTGTTTTGGGCAGTATTAGGCTTGCGCGCAGGAAGTCTCCACTCATTCAAGCCCTAGCACAACCCGCAGCGAAGGCAGTCTTTTGAAGGCGGCTTTGCTGGGGAGGTTCCAGCACCTAAACACACCCATGGCTCTCTCTGACTGGATCTGACCATGCTGCGTGGCACGTGACGCTGCGCAGCCGCCGCAGTTTCTGCGCCACTTACCAGCCGGCTGCTTCCTCTAAGCACATCCCTCGGTGTCTTCCAATGTGATCTTGATGATGTAGGGAGCCTCAGTGGAGCTCGGACCAAACCGGCCATCTCGGGGAGGCATCTCAAAGCGAGATGCAAGCGCGTCAAAGAAGGGTCTATACTCCGCACCCGCCAGATGTACGGTGACTGTTTTTAAATATGCG